CGCCTATGTTCTCTGTAGGCGTGTGTGTGTGCAACATTTCATTCAGTGATTTTTGAGTGTGAGGTGTAATAGTTCGTTCAGCTCTCCCCTCTCTCTGTCTGTCTGCTCACTCTCACTCATTCTGTTCTGTCGATCTGTCTGTTCTCTCTCTTAGTCTGCTCTCTGTCTGTTCTCTCTCTCTCTCTCTCTCTCTCTCTCTCTCTCTCTCTCTCTCTCTCACAGTCACGGTTTGTTCTGTCTGTCTGAGTCTGTTCTCTCTCTCATAATACTTTCTGTTTCATTTTCTCTCAGTACTGTTCTCTCTTTTAGTTTGTTCTTTCTTTCTCTCTCTCTCTCTCTCTCTCTCTCCCTCTCTCTCTCTCTCTCTCTCTCTCTCTCTCTCTCTCTCTCTCTTAGTCTGTTTTGTCTGTCAGTCTGTTCTCTCTCTCTGTCTGTTTTGTCTGTTCTCTCTCTCTCTGTCGATTTCCTCTCTCTCTCTATCTCTCTCTCTCTCTCTCTCTCTCTCTCTCTCTCTCTCTCTCTCTCTCTCTCTCTCTCCCAAGTGTATGTAGTGTAACATGCCGTTCGGATCTCTCTATGTGTACGGTATTACGTTGTTCGGCGCTGTATATTTGTAGTGTTATTTGCCGCTGGGTGTTCAGTGTATGTGACACGGCATGTTATTTCATTGATGTGTAGACACGCCGTCCATGGATAGGTTTTTATTGGTAGGAAGATGGTTGGCACAGAGCCAGTTGGCCCTTATAGGTAGGTATCCCACACAGCCAGTTGACACCTATAGCCAGGTGACCCCACAGCCCGATGACCCCTAAAGATAAGTGGCAAACTAGTTGACACCTACAGCTAGGGGATCGCTGTCCCAAATCGATTCCTGCAGCTGCTGTTGTCCCCTGAATGTCGGGTGACCCTTACAACCAGGTGACCTCTCCTGCTGTGTGACCCCTCCCATTAATTGGCTTATGTGGCTGTTGCGTGTGTCTGGCTTCCTAAATGCCAGCTGACCCCTACACTTGAGTAACCCATAGGGTTGAGTGAGCCCTGTCTCTGCCTAATTGACTCATGCAGCTGTTGCGCATGTCTGACCTCCTGAATACCAGCGATAATTACAGTGGTTAAAGAGTGAAGAGATTTATTTTATTCTTCACAACCTGCCCTCTCTCTCTCTCTCTCTCTCTCTCTCTCTCTCTCTCTCTCTCTCTCTCTCTCTCTCTCTCTCTCTCTCATGGCAAAACGTTTTGTTCAATAACCTGTTCAGTTTGTTGAATTCTTATGGGTACAATTGACCAGACCCAAAACAACGCAGCCAAGCGGTTTCCGTGTGAAAGGTGAAGGTCCAGCATAAGGTCATGCAGTGAGATGGTAGCTGTGCATCGAGTCCCCACCCTCCCATTCCATACCGGTGGGCTATTATTGATCGCTTGCGGAACCGCTTCAACTGATGCAAAATGGAACATTTATAAAGCTGTGATAACTGGAGGAATCTGCACGCTATCCATGTTTGACTGGTGCTAGTGTTATATTATGCACGAGTATCCCACTTTGTTGTGTTTATCTCTAAATTTCTCGTGTTCATCTCAGCTTGTGTGTATCTCACTTTGTTGTGTTAATCCATGCTGTATTCATCTCAACGTGTATACATCTTTCACTTTGTCCTGTGTATATGTCAGTTTGTATATCTAAGTTTGTTGTGTTAATCCATGCTGTATTCATCTCAGTGTGTATACATCTTTCACTTTGTCCTGTGTATATGTCAGTTTGTAGTTTGTATATCTAAGTTTGTCGTGTTAATCCATGCTGTATTCATCTCAGCGTGTGTACATCTTTCACCCTGTCCTGTGTATATGTCAGTTTGTAGTTTGTATATCTAAGTTTGTCGTGTTAATCCATGCTGTATTCATCTCAGCGTGTGTACATCTTTCACTTTGTCCTGTGTATATGTCAGTTTGTAGTTTGTATATCTAAGTTTGTTGTGTTAATCCATGCTGTATTCATCTCAGCGTGTGTACATCTTTCACTTTGTCCTGTGTATATGTCAGTTTGTAGTTTGTATATCTAAGTTTGTTGTGTTAATCCATGCTGTATTCATCTCAACGTGTGTACATCTTTCACTTTGTCCTGTGTATATGTCAGTTTGTAGTTTGTATATCTAAGTTTGTTGTGTTAATCCATGCTGTATTCATCTCAACGTGTGTACATCTTTCACTTTGTCCTGTGTATATGTCAGTTTGTAGTTTGTATATCTAAGTTTGTTGTGTTAATCCATGCTGTATTCATCTCAACGTGTGTACATCTTTCACTTTGTCCTGTGTATATGTCAGTTTGTAGTTTGTATATCTAAGTTTGTTGTGTTAATCCATGCTGTATTCATCTCAGCGTGTGTACATCTTTCACTTTGTCCTGTGTATATGTCAGTTTGTATATCTAAGTTTGTTGTGTTAATCCATGCTGTATTCATCTCAACGTGTGTACATCTTTCAATTTGTCCTGTGTATATGTCAGTTTGTAGTTTGTATATCTAAGTTTGTTGTGTTAATCCATGCTTTATTCATCTCAGTGTGTGTACATCTTTCACTTTGTCCTGTGTATATGTCAGTTTGTAGTTTGTATATCTAAGTTTGTTGTGTTAATCCATGCTGTATTCATCTCAGCGTGTGTACATCTTTCACTTTGTCCTGTGTATATGCCAGTTTGTAGTTTGTATATCTAAGTTTGTTGTGTTAATCCATGCTGTATTCATCTCAACGTGTGTACATCTTTCACTTTGTCCTGTGTATATGTCAGTTTGTAGTTTGTATATCTAAGTTTGTTGTGTTAATCCATGCTGTATTCATCTCAACGTGTGTACATCTTTCACTTTGTCCTGTGTATATGTCAGTTTGTAGTTTGTATATCTAAGTTTGTTGTGTTAATCCATGCTGTATTCATCTCAGCGTGTGTACATCTTTCACTTTGTCCTGTGTATATGTCAGTTTGTAGTTTGTATATCTAAGTTTGTTGTGTTAATCCATGCTGTATTCATCTCAGCAAGTGTGTACATATTTCAGTTTGTCCTGTGTATATGTCAGTTTGTAGTTTGTATATCTAAGTTTGTTGTGTTAATCCATGCTGTATTCATCTCAGCATGTATACATCTTTCACTTTGTCCTGTGTATATGTCAGTTTGTAGTTTGTATATCTAAGTTTGTCGTGTTAATCCATGTTGCATTTAATCTCAGTGTGTGTACATCTTTCACTTTGTCCTGTGTATATGTCAGTTTGTAGTTTGTATATCGAAGTTTGTTGTGTTAATCCATGCTGTATTCATCTCAGCGTGTGTACATCTTTCACTTTGTCCTGTGTATATGTCAGTTTGTATATCTAAGTTTGTTGTGTTAATCCATGCTGTATTCATCTCAGCGTGTGTACATCTTTCACTTTGTCCTGTGTATATGTCAGTTTGTAGTTTGTATATCTAAGTTTGTTGTGTTAATCCATGCTGTATTCATCTCAACGTGTGTACATCTTTCACTTTGTCCTGTGTATATGTCAGTTTGTATATCGAAGTTTGTTGTGTTAATCCATGCTGTATTCATCTCAGCGTGTGTACATCTTTCACTTTGTCCTGTGTATATGTCAGTTTGTATATCGAAGTTTGTTGTGTTAATCCATGCTGTATTCATCTCAGCGTGTATACATCTTTCACTTTGTCCTGTGTATATGTCAGTTTGTAGTTTGTATATCTAAGTTTGTTGTGTTAATCCATGTTGCATTTAATCTCAGCGTGTGTACATCTTTCACTTTGTCCTGTGTATATGTCAGTTTGTAGTATGTATATCTCAGTTTGTCATTCATCTCAGCTTACTCAGCTTGTTGTGTGTATATCTCAGCTTGTTATGTTTCTGTTTGATGGGTATGTAACTCAGTTTCTTGTTTGTTTCTCTCAGCTTGTTATGTGTTTCTCTCGCATTTTTTTTTTCAAATAGATATCTCAGTTTGTTGTATGTTTCTGTCACGTTGTTATCTGGTTCTTTCAGCTTGTTGTGTGTTTCTCTTAGCTTACTCTATGATTCTGTCAGCTTGTTGTAAGGTTTTCTCAGTTTATTGTATAGTTTCTCACCTTGTGTGTTTCTATCACATTGCTGTGTGTTTCTCTCACTTTATAGTGTGTTTCTCTCACATTGTTGTATGTTTCTCTCAGCTTGTTGTATGGTTCTTTCAGCATGTTTTGTGTGTCTCTCAAAATGTTGTTTATTTATCTCACTATTTTATGTATGTATATCCATTTCCTTTATGTATCTCCTAAATTGTTGTTGTGTGTCTCTCATTTGTAAGGTGCATCTTTCAGTTTTGTGTGTGTCTCCCAGCTTGTTGTGTCTTTCTCTCACCTTGTTGCGTCTCTCTAACCTTGTTGTGTGCCTTCCTTCTCCACCTCCTTACCCTCTTCTTCTTTTTTATGGTTCATGCTGTGTGGCGCTGGTAGTTATGTCTGTGCACATACTTTTGTTTCATGTACTTTCATTCATTTATGATTCACTTTCAGTAATTTCTGATTCTCTTTCAGTAATTTCTAGTTCCATTTCAACAATATCTGATTTCCTTTCAGTGACTTCTGAGTTCACTAATATATGATTCCCTTTCAATAATTTCTTATTCCCTTTCAGTAAATCCTGATTTCCTTTCGATAACTTAATTTCTGATATTCCCTGTGTTTAAAAAAAAAAACAAGATCTCTAAAAATGGATGTACACGCAAAACTCTTGGAACAAGACTAAAGTCCAGTATTGGACGAACAACAAGAACTTCTCACTAAAGTTTACAGCCAATGAATGCGAAGAAGAAAGAAGAAGAATGATTTCTGACACAGATGATCTTCCTTGCCATGATGCCAGCATCTTGTTTCTTGGTCTCCCTCTGCCTCTTTTCCTCACCACATTGCCCATGCAGTAACAGTATTTTGTGTTTATATTTCACCAATGCATTTGCAGATATTAATATAAACACATAACCTTAACTTGGACCAGAATTGGGCAGCCTGGAGTGGATTGTCACTGCAGCCATGATGCAGATGTGTCTATCATACAGATTTTATTTCTTGTCAATGAGGTGAGACAGCTGTCTGTAATGCAGATGTGTTTAGGGTACCCATGTTACAGCAAGATTATATACTCTCTCTCTCTCTCTCTCTCTCTCTCTCTATCTCTCTCTCCTTCCCTCCCTCCCTCCCTCTCTCTCTCTCTGTCTGTCTCTCTCTCTCTGTCTCTCTCTCTCTCTCTCTCCCTCCCTCCCTCTCTCTCTCCCTCCCCCCCTCTCTCTCTCTCTCTCTTTCTCTCTCTGAGTCTGTCTCTCTCTCTCTCTCTCCCCCTCCCTCCCTTCCTCTCTCTCTCTCCCTCCCTACCTCCCTCCCCCTCTCTCTCTCTGTCTCTCTCTCTGTCTCTCTCTCTCTCTCTGTCTCTCTCTCTCTCTCATGAAATATACAAGGTGTTTCGTGCAGAAATGTACCTTAAAGTCGCAACAGACAGGGATAACCTTCTACATAAGGACTTAAGGGATAGTAAGGGACATTGGCTGCAGAGAGGTAGCTATTGTATGGCACAAGCAGAAGTAACTATAAGAAATGTTTGTACTAATGACAAAATATCTCATGGTGAGGAATGGATCAAAGGGTTCGCCCAGCAAAACAGCCTTGCATAGCGTAATAGTTTATTTGGACTGAGGGTGCCAGGAATGGGTAGCTGGGGAAACAGATTCAGCAGTGCAGGAGCTGATCAGTGTATATTTGCATCAAGTTGACATAATAAACACAGACGGGTCTGTAGTGAGGGGTAAGAAAAGCGAGTGGGGTTTTATTGCAAAGGTAAATGGACACTATAATAACAGAGCCTTACATACAATGTCACATCATCCAGTTAGAGAATAGAGGTGGAGGCAGTAATGGCAGCTTTCCTATGGCTTAAGAGCAGCACAGCCCAACATGATGTGATTGTAATAGACTCACAGTGCATGCTTCAGAAAATGTAAACTGCTATCCTATGCTTAAAGTAGCTTACATCACTTGGTAAGATTCAGATCAGTAGCATATCATAGAATTAATTTCTGTCCTGGATATTCAGGGGTGTGAGATCATGATTGAACTGATAAATTTCGTGATGTAATCAAGTGTACAGTGCAACAGAACTGACAGAGAATCCATACATTGTAAGACCAATTCACTGGCGGAGGAGGAAGGTGGTCGGTAGGGGTTCTGGAAAATATTTAGAACTAAAAAAAAAGGGAACCTAGAAGAACTTTAAATCCGGCTGTAACTAGTGCTGTTAATATGTTGACTCTTCATTGGCTACTGAACTGAGGAAGGAGACGGTGCATGTGTATGAATGTCCCAAGTGCATTGATGTCATTTCTTGATTAATTTATTCATTTATTCTCTCTGTTTTTCTTTCTCTCGTAGGGTGTTCATGTAACAGCATTATATTCTCTCTCTGATAATTTATTCTTTCAACAAGATTATAAGATTATACTCTCTCTCTCTCTCTCTCTCTCTCTCTCTCTCTCTCTCTCTCTCCTCTCTCTCTCCTCTCTCTCTCTCTCCTCTCTCTCTCTCTCTCTCTCTCTCTCTCTCTCTCTCTCATATAGTGCCTTTGTAACAAAATTATATTCAGTCACTCCCTATGGTGCCTTTTTAACAAGATTATAATCTCTCTCTCTCCTCCTTCTCTCTCTCTCTCTCTCTCTCTCTCTCTCTCTCTCTCTCTCTCTCTCTCTCTCTCTCTCTCTCTCTCTCTCTCTCTCTCTCTTTCTCATAAGGTACCCTTATAACAACATTATGTTCATTCTCATAGGGAGCCCTTGTAACAGTCACAAATGACGACCATCTTCACTTGTGGAACTTCCGACAGAAACAACCCAGCATTGTCCACTCACTCAAATTCCAGAGAGAGAAGTATGTCAGCATTGTACATGTCACTTGCATTTTGGTACATGTCAGCAGCACTACTTTAGATGTCACTTGACATTTGTAACATATCATAAGCATGTCACTTGGCCTTTGCTACATTTTAGCTGTACACCATATGTCACTTGACATGTGTTACATATCAGTAGCTCATCAATTGTTACTTCACATATTTTTTGCATATCACTGGTACGTCATATGTCACTTTACATTTGTTTCATATCTGCAGTGCACCATATGTCACTTGACATTTGCTCCATGTCACTGACATCCCCCATGCCTAACTGAATTTTAAGTCTAAGAATGAGACATTGTACTTTGTTTGTAGTTTGTCCCTTCCAGGATTGCAGTAGTAGAATTAACTCCTCAAGGATAAGAACCTGAATGGGTTCTTCAAACGTTTTTCGTCCCAGACACATCATGATTGGCCGTTCATTTATGCTTCTCGACCTTTCACACGCACTAGTCTATAGTCTAAGTTACTGGGGATTCATGTTGTGTTCTCTTTGACGCTATCACCGGCGATATTCCGTGTTCTATATTTAATAATGTGACCGCTTTTAACTACCACACAATATCCAGAGCTGGCCCTAACCCAAACCCCCCTACCTCACAACTTCAGCCGTCTTGCTGCAGAAAAGCAAGGCTGCTCTCCTTGTCGCTTCTCAATGCTCACAGCTGAAGTAAATTGATGTGCTACTTGAAGTCCGACAAAGCTGTAATATACACAATCTTGTCGGCCACTCATATCAACCAGTTCACGAGTGCAATATACATGGCTGAGAAGATCGAACAGCGCAATGTGACACCCCTTTAACTTAGACTAGCACATGTGAAAGGTCATAAAGGATGAATGAATGGCCAATCACTGTGTGTTTGGGGTGGAAAACATTACTAGAACTCCTAAAGATATAAATCTGGGTACGCCTCGTTCAACCATAAGGTTATACTAAGGCCCCTGATGGTTATGACATAACCTGAGTCCAGACTGAGCAGGGATCATTTTCATCGGGGACTTGTAAACTTAGGGGACACCTGCTCCATTTCGTGAACTTTGCCACTTGCTATTTTGGTGCCACAAAACAAAATCCAGAGCATATCATGCTCAGGATAGCTCAGATCTTACCAGTCAGAGAGAAGAAATCTGGCCCACAGGAGCGACACTTCAAGACAAACTATGAGGTAGTGGTGAAGACCTCAAGCGTACCACCTGTTTGTGACCCATGCTGGAATTGACACATAGCAAACTTTGATTGTTGAAGAGAAAGAATTGCAGCAGTTTTCTTCATACTTTGAGCAGTTTTTGTTAGAAGTTCATTGTTACTGTCTGCCCTGTAGAAACTAATGATTACTGCCTGCCCTACACATAGACTAGAGACTTTTGAAAAGTAAATGTCTGAGGAGAGTCCTGCGAGGATTTGTGTGGGAGTTGGCGAGGGGACCAATATCTTTTACATCACTGAAAAACGTTATCAAAGGAGGAAGATGGAGGTGGCTTAGACATGTTTGCAGAATGTCTCATGATGCTTTGGCAAGGACAGCTCTCCAGTGGATGGCAGATTTTAAAAGACGCCAGTTACCTAAGGAAACTTGGAGAAGGTCAGTTGAAATTGAAATAAAGGAATGTAAAATAACATAAGGTACCATGGGCAGAAAAGCAGCAGACTGACAGCAATGGAGATTACTTACAAATGCCTTTGTGTCAGTATCAAAGTGAAGAGGAATATAGACAGATACTAAAACAAATATCTGTGTCTGCCCTATAAAAATCAGTTGTATTGTAGAAACTAAGGATTGCTGTCCACTCTGTAGAACTAGTTGAGATGGGTTGAGTAAAATACCAACATCATAGTCTTCTTTTTTTTTTTCTACTGCTGGACATTCTTGGGAAATGACCATAAGTGCTGCTTTTCTCCATCTTCATCAGCCAGTGAAAGGTCCCAATTCCAATGGTACCTGTAGCAGTCTGATTGTATCTTGCTGTTCCTCTGAGTCTTGACTATCAGTCAGACCCCCTAGTCATTCACTGCACCATTCTCTTCAGACTGTAATGATCTGTCTGTACCTCTGCACTGTTCACTCACTCTGAAAAGACCTTGATAACATCTAGCTCATCATTCGTCAGTTTACTACCATGTGATGCAAAAGCAGCCATTTGCTTCTTCTTCTTCTTCTTCTTCTTCTTCTTCTTCTCTTCCACCTTGTACCTCATCGAAGTGTCGGGGGGAGATGTAATGTTCGTTGATGAGCTCTGATGTTCATTTCTGTAAGGCTGTTCTTAATGCCATCACTCCATCTTTTCGTAGGTCTTCCACTCGCTCTATACCCGTTGTAACGTTTTAGTGTGGCTCACTGTGGCGGATAGTACCAGGGCATTCTTGTTAGGTGTCCAAACCACTTCACTTGTTGTTCTTTGATGACCTGTAAGACTGGTTTTATTCCTAGCATTCGTCTGATTTCATGATTTTGTATTCTGTCTTTCCTTGAAACTCCTGCAGCTCTTCTAAGGCATTTCATCTCTGTTGTCACAATTTTACGTTCATTGGAAGATGTAAGTGTCCACGTTTGGCATCCCAAAACAGGCTTGCCCTTAAGAAAATATCCTAATGACGCTAACTGCCCAGGAACTCTAAAGCGATGCTTGCCACTTTGTGCAGAGCTTACCTACCTGTTTCCACCTGTCACAATAATGACAAGTGTGATCAGTCAGTTCTCAAGCCAGTTTAAAGGCTCTAGTAATCACCTCAACATCCGTTCTCAAACTAAATGTTGTGGTATCATATACAATGCATTTTTTTGCCTTAAGAAATGGACACACTAATGATTATTATCTATCCTGTAGAGGCTAATAATGACAGTTTGTCATTTACAGAGTGTCCAAGTGTCACCTTCCCTTCCAGAGCAAATGGTTGTATGTGGGGACAGAGAGAGGCAACGTACATGTGGTCAATGTGGAGTCTTTCACCTGCTCTGGTTATATCATCAACTGGAACAAGGCTATAGAGTTGTATGTTAACAGATTATATGCTGTCTGTCTTTCTCATCACTTGTGTGTCATTTGTTTGTGTCATCTGTTATGTTAACTTGAGTTAAGAGCTGAAACCACGGAACTCCCCCCACCCATCACATTAGTGTGAAGTTCAAGTACCACTCGTGCCATTTGCAGCCTGATTAGATGTATGTCTTGTCTATCTTGCAAGTCTTTCTCTGGTCACCTCCTGTTGCATTATTCTTTCCGAATCATGATGCAGTGTCTACTCATCTGCACTGTTCTCATGCTTCCATAGAGCCGTGACCACATCTGCTTTGTCATGAATCAATGAAACCACTGCTTCCCTGGCAAGCATGTCCCAAAAGGCAAATAATTAGGGGTTTGTTGAAACCAGATGTGTTTTTGCCATGTAGTTTATGGGGACCTCTTGTGGGAAAAATAAGAATAGAACCACTGCCTCCCCAACAAGTATGTCAAAGGAGTTGACTGAGGGAATTCTTTGAAGTTTAAGCGCATCTGCCAGAGAGGCTAGGAACCTACAGTCTGCATTCTGACAAGCCAGATCTCTAAAATGGATGTGCATGCAACACTCAGGTTCTGAAACAAGACTAAAGTCTGGAGGTGGACGAACAAGCAGAGCTTTCCGCCTGAGTTTACAGCCGATGAATGCGAAGAAGAATAAGAAAAAGAAGATGCCAAAAGGTGCAGATATCCCAGATATCTCAACCTTGCTCTAAGCTACAACACAGCAAGCTAACTGCCCTTGTTAGGGCTAACACAGAAGAAAACACACATCTGCACGGACATATTTTCTATAATTGATCTCAGCTTCCAGGTCAGCACGACCAAAAAATAGACAGTTCTTGGATTTAAAAACAAAGTATCTGGCATGGTGTTGACTGTATCACCCATTAAGTACCAATGGGTATGCATTTCTCTCCCTTTTCTATCTTTTGTTTTCACCATTACAACTTTCTAACATAATATAGATATATTTGAAGTGGAAATTCTACATTGTGAATGTTACAATAATTGGTCTCTAAGACAGGAGATACAACTGGACATTTTATATTGTGCATAAACGATCTGTATTTGCTTGCCTCAGGTCTAGGAAAACACATCCGGGACCTGTCGTACACTTGAGTGATAATCCAGTGGATCCTAACAAAGTGAGTATTTGTTTTCATTTTGATGATCACATGGTTAGTCTTACTTGATCCCATAATTAATCTTGGAATTCTGTGGTGATCATAGGGTTTATTTTAGATTTCCATGAGTATAACATTGTTAATCTTGGACTTCTGTGTTGATCATCTGGCTTATCTTACACTTCTGCTGGTAATATATGCAGCACAGCAAGAAACATTGTAACGTGTATACTTTAGTTAAAAGGATTCCTGCTGTCTGATTCATCATATGTTATTGTAAAATAAGTAATGCACCTGATGAGACATGCTTCATCGGCAAGATCCCACTTTGGGAAGTGGGGGGTCATGCACATGTTTTGGTTGAATTGTAACCTGATCTCTCTAGATGAAACCCCACTTCAGGAGTTGAGGTAAAAACCGCACTTTAGGGGTTGAGGTGAAACCCCCAAGTCAGGAATTGAGGTGAAACCCACTTCAGGGGTGATAAAAATGTTTAGGTTGTAGTTTAACTCATTGTGAAACTCCACTTCAAGAGGTGGGATCATACACATGTCTAGATATAACCCAGTCTCCCTTGATGAAACCCCACTTCATACGCACGTCTAGGTAGTAATGTAACCCTGTGTCCCTTGCTGAAACCCCACTTCAAGAGATGGAATTAAAGGCAGACATAAACTGTGGACATTCATTAACTGGTTTTAGCACAGAAAGGAAGGCATTAAATGGTACAAAATAATTACCAGTGTGATCTATAAAAATTCATTAACTGGTGCCTGCAAAGAATACAAGAAATTAAGTGGTACAAAATAATTACTAGTATAATATAAAGAAATTTGGAAACGGGTTCCTACACAAAACAGAGTGAATTATAGTATGATAGAATCACTAGTGTAGAGCTTTGGGAGTGGACTAAGCAAATTTGATTTCACATGTTCTCTGACATGTTGTTCACCACATGGCCCACTAAATGCTGATTGGTCTAGAAAAATTTGAGTCCAGCATACTATGCCCGATAGACGGAAGAAGAAGAAGAAGAAGAATCACCAGTACTGAGCAGATTAAATAGATTACACTGAGTCAATGTGGAAAAAAAAGCGCTGATTTGATAAGCAGTCTTCAACATTTATCAGGGTTCGATCCCTGCAGATAGTTGTGTATCCTTTACAAGACATTTCAGAACCAACCCCTGCTAGGCCGGCTGCTGGGATCAAACCCAGGACCTTGACATTAAAAAGCGTGTTCGCAGCCCCTAAGCTACAGACACACAGATTCCCGCAGTGGGTGGTTTTAAAAAAAAAAAGGTAAATTGTTTGGTTTTCAGACAGTGGTGTGAGAGTTGCAATGTGCAAGCGATCGGGGACATTGCAGCCATCCTCCACTGTGGAGACGACACAATTTTAAATAAGTTAATTGTATCACTAGAATAATGGTCTGTGATAACTTTTGCTAATTCTCCAGTCTGTAACCAAGCTTTGATGTCTTTTGTTCTTGATCACCAGCTTCTCATTGGCTTTGAGTCTGGTGCCATTGTGTTCTGGGACCTGAAGACCAAGTCGGCAGAGTTTAGATATAATTCCCAAGAGGTGAGTTTTGTGCTTTATCAGTTAGCAGAGAATTTAATTCGAAGTGGGGGTCTCCATGGTCAGTGGTCAAACCGTTTGCCTCATGTTGTGAAGGTTGTTGGTTCATTTCATGGCTGGGGCATATCGCTCATGAGTTCTATATTTACAGAGATCTCTGGGGATCGTAGTCAGAGATACGAAGTTCATGCTGTATGTGACTCTCTCAACAGGTGGCTCGCTGTTCTGCAGAGACACCAAACCATATGGGATAAAGTCTGATGCAATGAAGTCAATTCTCTCACCTTTAGCTTTTAATATGAAACGTCTAAGTACTATAGGTGATCAGCGAAAAAGGCAGTATCAATATCTTTTGTTTTGGAAGGGGGGAAGGATTACAATTCAACTGCTTAGAACACTAGCTGTCAGTACTTTAACATATGGCTGTAAAATGTGGCACTTATGATGGCTGCTTTATGCATTTAATAAATATTTATGCTGTTGGCTTTGCAGAGGCTACAGTCTGTGGCAGTTATTTCACAAGGGACAGTGATGGTCATTATGTAGGGTTTTCATTGGCCCTGGAGCAGATCAACAATAGGATGCCCTGCTTACTGTGGAGTTGGAAATGCGAGTACTTGATTACCTGTGAAATGTGGACCTGAACTTCTGACCTTTAGAGGAAAAACAAGCATTGGAAATTAGATCTTTAAAAAAAGAATTATTGATATATCACAGACCACATCACAAATGAGTGAAAATCACCATATGATAACTTTAAACATTGGCAACTATGAATCTCTTTCAACAACGGAAAAAAAGTAATGGTACGGACATATAGAAAGATCTACCAGCCTCTCTAAAAGAAAACAGTTACTCGTCATTTAACCTGAAATATAAAAATACATCACACTTAGAGATAACCTGTTTGCTTTATCTTATTCATTTGTTAGTGCAGTGTGCTTCATCTTTTTCAGTTGTTAATGTAGTGTGCTTCATCTTATTCGGTTGTTACTGTAGTGTGCTTCATCTTATTCGGTTGTTACTGTAGTGTGCTTCATCTTATTTCGGTTGTTACTGTAGTGTGCTTCATCCTATACATTTGTTACTGTAGCGTGCTTCAACTTATTCATTTGTTACTGTAGCGTGCTTTATCTTATTCAGTTTTTGCTGTAGTGTGCTTCATCTTATCCGGTTGTTACTGTAGTGTTCTTCATCTTATTCAGTTGCGACTGTAGTGTGCTTCATCTTATTCAGTTGCGACTGTAGTGTGCTTCATTATATTCAGTTGTTACTGAAGTGTTCTTCATCTTATTCAGTTGCGACTGTAGTGTGCTTCCTCTTATTCGGTTGTTACTGTAGTGTGCTTCATCTTATTCAGTTGTTACTGTAGTGTGCTTCATCTTATTGGATTGTTACTGTAGTGTGCTTCATCTTATTCAGTTGTTACTGTATTGTGCTGCATCTTATTCAGTTGTTACTGTGGTGTGCTTCATCTTATTCGGTTGTTACTGTAGTGTGCTTCATCTTATCGGTTGTTACTGTAGTGTGCTTCATCTTATTCAGTTGCTACTGTAGTATGCTTCATCTTCTTCGGTTGTTGCTATAGTGTGCTTCATCTTATTCAGTTGTTACTGTAGTGTGTTTCATCTTATTCAGTTGTTACTGTAGTGTGTTTCATCTTATTCAATTCTTACTGTAATAAGCTTTGTCTTATTCAGTTGCTACTGTAGTGTGATTCCTCTTATTCAGTTACTGTAATTTACACATGATAAGATACGGCTAATTATTTAATTGTTACTCCAGTTTGCAACTGATAAGATACTGCGATCTATGTCAGGCAGTTAACAAAATCTGCCATTACTGCCTGTATTTACCACATTTCACTGTTGGCAGAGCAAGTTAGGAATTTTTTGTTATTATTGCCCCAATAGAAAAACCCATAACCTACTTTACTGAGGATTCACATCTGAGTCTCCCAGATGAGAACCCAGGGTTCTTAACCTTTCTGACTTTTCAGCCAGCCACTCCTCCCTCAGCAGTGTTTTACTTGTGTGTCTTCATTGTTAAAATTTACAACATGGAAGTTGCTTTGATTCATTGCTTGTTTGAATGAAGACTTTTGTGGATTCATTTGCAGGCCTTGAGGTCTATATCATGGCACAACGAAGGCAAACAGTTTATGTGCAGTCACTCAGATGGCAGTCTGTCTACTTGGAATGTCAGGTCACCGCTGAGGCCAGTATCTGTCACCTCACCTCATGGTAAGCGTTTTCTTCTCCTCCTCCTCCTCCTCCTCTTCTTCTTCTTCTTCTTTACCTTCCTCCTCCTTCTCTTCTTCTTCTTCTTCTTCTTCTTCTTCTTCTTCTTCTTCTTCTTCTTCTTCTTTTCTTCTTTTTCTTCTTCTTTGTCTTCTTCTGCTTTTGCCCTTAAAAGGTTGTTTGGCTTTGTGCTGTGGTAAACAGATGCGCAGTGGTATCTGTACCTTTTGGCCCAGCACATTTATTTTACTACTGACCCCTAATTAGTTACCTTTTATGAAATGCTTGCTAGGGGCAGTGTCTGCCCCCCACCCAAATGGGGCCCAGGAAACCATATATGGATGGTGAAGATATTATATTTTGCCATCAGAGTCACTTTGTGTAAAGTTGTCTCTTTTTATTTACATTTTATGTATATACTAGCTGTACCCGGCCACGCGTTGCTGTGGCATAGTTTGGCTAAAAGGAAATGAAAGAAAATAGAAATCGCACGTGTCTAATACAATCATTGTCTGCTCAGATATAGAAATAGTCTTTGATCCCCCCCCCCCCCCCCCAACCCACCACAACTAAATCCACCTACTACTCTCTCCCTCATCAAAGGTTTTTGGAAAAGAAAGACAATGGAAATCGCTCGTGTCTAATATAGTTAATGTCGCAATCATTCTCTGCACAGATATAGAGATAGTCTGGTTTTCCAACTTTAGAAAACGCACCATATAAATGTGTCTTTATATTAGTGGTAGTTTAAATGGTGTTATTAGCACAGTAACAAAAATGGTTATTTGGTTATCACATGCTAAAGCTGTTTGTATTTTTATAGGAGACGGAAGGGAAGTAAAGCTGCAGCTGTACTTGTAAATAACAAAGTCAGTCGTAAAAAAATTGAATAGCGGAGGTAGCGTTAGTAAAATAAAAACAAGTACCAGTACAACTACTACCACGACTACCACCACAGTAGCTAAAATAATGTCACTGCTATCTGTTTTACCATCGGAGTAGACAGGGATTCCTGAGCCAGAAGATTTTTCTGCCGCAAAGCTAGTGCTGTCGCCACGGACTGGTCAGGTTAGGATGTATAATTTTGCTTCCCAACAGAAGAACGCCATAACCTTACCGGCGGTCTTCACATGAGAGCACTACGGTGTAACAGCCCAACCACAACTACTACTACTGCTGCTACTTTGAGTGGGTAAAGCAGTTACTGTGACTTAAAGCTCTCTCAGTAAACAGTTGCACCCCCCACCACCCCCCCCCCCACCCCCTCTTCAATTCACTGACTACTCTTTCCCTCATTGAAGTAGTTGGGAGAAAAAAACAAAAAACAATTGAAAAGCAAATGAAAACAGGAAAAATACACCATAATTAGGAAATGAACGCTATGGTAAACAGCACAGCTTAAAATTCCAATGCAGATCAAATAATTAAATCTAAATGAAAAGAAATGGAAAGCTATGAAATTGCAGCGTAACCATGCAATTGTAAAGTTTAAAAATGAAATCATAAGTATGCGAAATGGTCAAATTTAATTATCAACTGATTTACCCACATACCTGTCCTTTTTTTTTTAGTATTAAGGGCCACCTGGCTAGTGCTGTCGCCACGACAGTGCAAGTGAGGATTTTATTTTAGCCCCAGGTAAAAAAAAAAAAACGCTACTACGGATTTGAACCCTGGTCTCCCAGGCAGGAGCCCAGTGTTCTAACCAATCGACCAAGCAGCCACTTCATCAGAGAAACGAAAAGAGAACGAAACTATTTGAGATGTGTGTCCCTACTACAGTGTCCCGATTATAATACAATTTAAAACAGCAGGCAATTGTTTTCTCATAGACAGATATTCCAGATATATTATTGAAACGGCACAACAATAGAATTCACACGTGTCTAACACGGTTAATGTCGCAGTCAATGTCTGTGCCGACGTCGAGATAGGCTTTGATGTCCCCCCCCCCCCCCCCCCCCCTTCCAATCCATCGGCTACTTTCCAACTCATCGAAGGTTGTTTGAAAAAAAAAAAAAAGAAAATAGAAATCGTGTTTAATATGGTTATTGTGGCAATCATTGCCTGCACAGATATAGAGATAGTCTTGTTTGCTGTACCACGGTCTACTCTATTTATTAGAGAAGGCGTTAACCGTACGTATCTCGCCGGCGAATGGTGGAAGTCTTGCGTTCTGACTACGGCGCATGCGCATTTACTAACGTGGCTATAATTAACTGTCACTAAAAATGTAAATATTAGTTTCGAAGATTTTCCCAAAAATTGTCCCACACTATCTCTAACAATGACAGGTTGAATTTCAAACCATGATGGGTGAACATCTGGTATGAAAACAAACATATCCTGAAAATTTCAGCTAAATCGGTTCAGTAGTTTCCAAGTCTATAGCTCATAAACAAACACACAAACATTGATTTTTATATATATAGATGTTGCCTTGCCTTGTAGTAGTAATATGGTTATTTTACCTAATTTCACCTCATATAATATCATGACGTGGCTCTGTAGCCTAGAGATTAGTGAAAACTTTTACTGTTATTGTCATTGCCACTCAGTAGGTTATTTCTATTTTATGTTAGGTTTAGTGAAGGATTCTTAAAAGAAAAAAAAATTAAGTCAAGATATCTTTCATTTAAGGATGAGTTTAGTGTTGTTATTCTTGCTGTCTTAGATTTTAGCAGCAAGGACCTTTTGGGACTGAAAGAGTAAATAATTTCTTTTCCTCAAGCACAAGGGTTCCCTTCTAATGTCAGACGGTTTATTATAACAAACTTTCTTGGGTTTTCAGACTATGGCATGAGAGTTGCACCATGGACAGGGGCCTCACCAAGTAAAATATTTACAGAGACAGCAGTTGTACACTGCAGCTAGTCTTCATTGTGGAGACGGTGCACAGTTTTAACCCTGTTGCCCCGTGAAGCCCCATACCCAGCATTTCCTTTTTTTTTTTTGCCACATTCCCCTAAAGGCAGCAAAACTGACATGTCTACAATGACTTGTTTCTGAAAAATGTTGTTTAATGCCAGGAAAATAAAGACCACTGGCATAATGTTGACCACATCATCCACTGTATGCCCAATACGCATGAAGGCATGGAAAAGATCCTTTACTTACTTTACTAGTAAACTGTTTTTTAAAAAAATATGTGTGTGTGTGTGTGTTAAATAATTATTATTTTCAGGAATCAGGAATTCCCATGGGTCTGTAATCCCCATAATCCCCAGTCTAATGCTGTCTCATCATATATTATTACCTCACCACATTTAATATACTGCCTCGTTCATGTCAGACATGTTTAGACACTCTCATGTTTTCATGTTGTGGTAACATCATTACCTCACCTCATCATTCTGGCCTGCAAGTTGCTGGAAGTTTTCCCTATGTGAGTTCTAAGGCCCCATTTTGGGGGGAAAAAAGAAAAGACCCACAGCCCCTAAGAAGCATGGCACAAATGGGAACTAATTAGGGGTGTTTACTTCAAAGTCAGGGAACATCTGCCTAAGGTGAGGAATCAGCAGTCGGCATACAAATAAACGAGATCTGTAACACAGATGTGCTTGCAAACTCACGTTCTGGAGTAAGACTAAAATTCAGAAGTGGATGAACAACCAGAACTTTCTGCTGAAGTTTACAGACAGTGAAGGCTAAGAAGAAGAAGAAGAAGATGAATTCCCTGTAAGATCATTACTTCCACCTGATAATTCAGGCTTGCAGATGCAGGAAGTTTAAATCAGTAATTGACAGAAATAAGGGGGTATTCTTTATTGCACTTGTTCCTTTCAGCCAAAATAGGAGCAGACGGCAGGCTGGAAATGTGCAAACCTATAGCCAAAGTTGAATGGAGATCAACGCGGACTGGGTAAGAGTTTCACATTTGCTAGTTAGTGTCAGGTCAAATGTTGATCACCTCAAGCACAGATGGGGAGAACTCAACAGGCTTTGAATATCTTATTTTTACAAATTTGATGATAATATAACAAGATTGCACAGAACCCAGAGATCCAAAGAGATAGAAGGAGATGAGAAAAAAACCATGTGTGGAGCAGAGAGTTAAAGGGATAGAGGGAAATGAGAAACACATATGTGGAGCAAAGAGTTAAATACTAAGTGAATATAGTGGGTTGAGCTGTGCACGATGATAAAGGATAAATGACTTGCCACGAGTTGGTTGAGGGCCTGTGCTCTTTTTGGAAACAAAGAAGAAGGAGAATACATACATAAATTGTCAAAGTGCACCAACCTCATGCATAAATAGTGATAATGTTATAAGTGCATCGACCTCCTTATGCATAAATGATGATGATTTTAAAGTGCTTTGATCTCATGCATAAATAGTAAAGATGTTAAAGGGCATCGACTTCCTCATGCGTAAATAGTGATGATGTTAAAGTGCACTAACCTCCTCATACATAACTCATAATACAGTTTAAGTGCACTGACTTCCTTGTTCATAACTTGTGATTATGTTAAAGTGCACTGACTTTCTCTGTCATATGTAGTGATGATGTTAAAGTGCACTGACCTCCTCGTTAATAACTAGTGACGGTGTTCAAGTCACTGACCTCCTCATTCATAACTAGTTGAAGTGCATGAACCCTCTCATGTATAACTAATGATGGTAAAGGGCACTGACCCTCTCATGCATAACTAGTGATGATTTTTTAAGTGCACTGACCTTAACTGACCGTCTTGTTCATAACTAGTAATGATGTTGAAGTGCATCAGCCTCTTCTTTCATAGCTAGTGATGATGTTAAGTGCATCGACCTCCTCTTAAATAACTAATGCTGAAGTTAAAGTGCACTGACTTCCTCGTTAATAACTAGTGATGGTGTTCAAGTGCACTGACCTCCTCATTCATAACTAGTTGAAGTGCATGAACCCTCTCATGTATAACTAATGATGGAAAAGGGCACGGACCCTCTCATGCATAAGTAGTGATGATTTTTTAAGTGCACTGACCTCCTCATTCATAACTAGTTGAAGTGCATGAACTCTGTCATGTATAACTAATGACGGTGAAGGGCACTGACCCTCTCATGATGATTTTTTAAGTGCACTGACCTTCTTGTTCATAACTAGTAATGATGTTGAAGTGCATCAGCCTCTTCTTTCATAACTAGTGATGATGTTAAGTGCACTGACCCTTTCTTGCATAATTAGTGATGATGTTAAAGTGCATGAACCTCCTCTTTCATAGCTTGTGATGATGTTAAAGTGCACTGATGTCTTCATATGTAGCTTGTGATAATATTAAAGTGTACCATTCTTCTCATGCATAACTTATGATGATGTAGTGCACTGAACCAGTCATGACTAATGAATTTGCTTCCACAGAGAAGCAGTGGTCATCTTCTCTGGGGGCATGTCCTACGACCGCGCTGCAAGAACCCCAAGTATAACTGTCATGGCAGGCAAAAGCATTACAGTGCTAGAGATGGAGCATAATGTTGTGGACTTTGTCAGCCTCTGTGACACTCCCTGGGCCAATGGTGAGTCTCTCTCTCCCCCCTTCTCTCACGCTCTCCCCCCTCCACGCTCTATCTTTATCTTTATGTGTGTGTGAGAGAGAGAGAGACAGAGACTCATTGGGTCAGTGGTGGGTAAGTGTGGAATTCCATGGGTCTGTGGTAGGATGCATGTGTGTGTGTCAATCCTTGTGACAGTGTGTGTGGCTCTTCCATGGGTCATTTACAGGTCAGTGTGTGAGACACTTCTGTGGGCCAATAATAAGTTAGTGTTTATGGCATTTGTGGATCAGTCAAATAAATATGTCTGGGGAGGGGGGTGGTAACAATGAGTCACTGATCAACTAACTATATGTGTAAAACCCCATCGGCCATAGTCCTCTGTGTAGTGATGTAGGGCACTGCATGGGTCAATGATTAGCTCTCTGTATATGTTTGTGCGCACATGCGCTCATGTGTATGCGTGTGTGTGATGGCACATCATGGGTCAGTTGTTGATGTGTCTGTGGGGGTGTGTGTGTGTCTTTTTTTTTAATTTTAATCTGTTAAGATATACAGTTGATGATTTCACACAATGGTTATAACAATTTTTTTTTTTTTAATAAAAATAAAAAAGGCCTTCAAAGTGCCTGCCCTAGTGGTTAACATGATCAACATCCTAAGGCATCTTTTTTCTTTGGGCATTTCTACAATTTTAGAAGAAGGAGAGTCTAGGGAATGATGTGTTTGACTTTGATAAATCTGTGATCATTGAAAAAAAAAGTGGAACTAAGGGCTGTGTTATCCTGTTTCTGCTTTCCAGATTTCCAGGATCCATATGCTATTGTTGTACTGCTACAAAATGACCTTGTTGTTATAGACCTCACATCACCAGGGTAAGTGGGGCTTTATGATTGGTGGGTCACAAGCTCAGTTGTATTTTTATGTCATAGTTATTGCATTGAACAAAGGAGTGACAAACAATTTCCAGAGGGTTACAAATTTCGGCATGCAGGTCAGTCTTACATTCGGCCTTTTCAGACATTCATCTTTCCTACAGCAGTTTTTTTTTTTTTTTTAGATATAGAAAGTGTATAGATTGAATGTAAAGTAAAAATACAAAGGCATGGATGACAAATGCATACCTCAAATATAAATGCAAAAAAATACATTGTTCACATGCACGCACGCACATACACACACACAGAGAGAGAGAGAGACTACACACACACTGATACAACCTACCTGGCAAACATACTTTTGCAGACAACACATACACATAGACAACCAGTAGAAAGTAAATAAGACTGTCAGAGTTAATTTACTTGTAACCTTGCAGTACAGTTGTATCTCTCTCTCTTTTTGTGTGTGTGGGGGGGGGGGGGGGGGGGGGGGGGGGGTTGCCCTTCTCCATCTTTGTGCCTGCCTCCCTGTCTTTGTCTGCCCCTTTCTCTCTCTCCCTTTCTTTCTCTTCCTTTCTTTCTTGTTCTTCCTCTCTCTTTGTCTCTTATGTCTGCCTCTCCACCTGCCTTTTTCTGATTCTTTCTATCTACCCCTCTCTCCATCTACATGTCTCTCTGTCTGCCTCCCTTTGCCTCTGTTTCTGATTGCCTCTGTCCTTCTGCATTTCTCACTGTCTGCCTCATTCCCCCTCTCTCCTACCACTGAACAGTCAACTCTTAGCATTCGATGTTGTCAGGCAACATCCTGTCAGCCACATTTACTTCCCACAACATATCCACAACCTTAGGAGTTTGGGGTTAATAAAGTTATGTGGGTGTGTGATGTGAGCGCTTGCGCATTCCTTCACATATACTTTAGTTCTAAAGGACACACAGGAGTACACTGGATTAATCTGAGCTGTGTGCAGACATCATTGCTTCTGTTTCCTGGACCTGGACCATTGAAACATACCCTTGCTTCTGTTTCCTGGACCATTGAAACATACCCTTGCTTTGAGAATCCATTTCCGTCACCCTATGCAATTTAAGAGATGATTCCCATCTTTAAACATCCTTAGTTCTACAGATACAACAGAACAGGGATACAAAGCAAAGAAAACATTTTGGTGAGGGAGTGAAGCTCACCTCCTTACACATTTTCTAAGGGAAAGGGGTCTTAAAAGGCATAAGCCTTGTTTGGTGCATAATAATAATGTACTGAATGGCAAATAAATAAAAAAATATATTTGAAATAATATAATATGTAGAAACACAAACTTTAAAACATAATTTCCATACATGGGGGTAGGGGGAGGGGGGGGGGAAGGAGCAGCAGCTTAGCCTTCTTAAAAAATTTTGGTGGGAAAAGGGGGTGCTCAGGGTGCCTAAATCCCTGATTTTCCTGCATAGTACACTGGGAATTGACTTCAGGTGTGTGAGAGAAGAGTGTCATTGTATGTTTGTCTTGGATCCAATTCAGATACCCTTGCTTTGAGAATCCATATCCGATGGATCTGCATGAGTCACCGGTGACCGCCTGTCAGTATTATGCCAACTGTCCCATGGACATCATTCCTGCCCTCTACTCCACAGGCAAGAACCAGAAGAAGACTGGATTCAGTGAGAAGGTGAGACAAGTTTCATCTTTATGTAGTCATCAGATCTGCAGTCTTGTCACAAGGGGATGGGGTTGGTCCCATTTTATAACAAGAAGGCTAGAATGGTTAGGATGTGTTCAAGTTCCAACTGAGAGATTTAGAAGTGGTTTTGTCCAAGTTTCAAACAAAGGGATTTAGAAGTGGTTTTGTCCAAGTTTCTTCTTCTTTTTCTTCTTCTTTGCATTCGGTTTTGTATGCTCAGGTCAGATCGTCATGTGGGCTGCTTCTGTGAATTTGCATGTCAGTTGCTGGTCCTTCATTGATCCTCATAGCTTGCTCTGCACACTTTGCTTTTGAGGCCAGGTTTCTCTTTGTAGTTGAAGTATAGTGGGCAGGCCTGCAGAATATGCTGAGGTGTTTATGGTCCCATCTCAGGTGTTTGTGGTCCCATCTCAGGTGTTTGTGGTCCCATCTCAGGTGTTTGTGGTCCCATCTCAGGTGTTTGTGGTCTCATCTCAGGTGTTTGTGGTCCCATCTCAGATGTTTGTGGTCCTGTCTGATAGGCACACTGTGGTAACTGTACATACTTTATTTTAGGCATGTAGATGTTGAACCTGCAGTGTCCTGTTCTTAGATGGACAATTGTTGCATATGGTTTTCTGTTCAGTCTGTTGGTGTCTTGGAAATATTTACTGTTGGTTTGTTCTCTCCACAATTCCTTTTATTTTCTCTTGTTATGTTATTTGAGTTCCAGTAATGACAATAACAGTAAAAGAATATTTTTTATTCTATTTTTTTGTCAATTTTGTGCAAGTCTGTCCACCTCCGCCTTTCCTGCTATGCCATAGTGGGCTGGGATCCATTGAAGAACCATTTGATTTTTTTCTGAGAGTTTATTTAGCTGGTAGGTCAGTTTTCTTTTCTTGTTATGTCATGGACCTCTTTGAGTCACCTAGAGGACTGACATGCAGTCACACAGGAAAACTGTCTTGCGTCTTTTATTTTTCTTTCCTCAAGCTGTGTTTCCTGCTGTGCTGTAAAGTTTGTTGAGAGTTTCCCTTAGGCACATTACTTTTTTTTTTCACTGTGGTCCCATCTTGTAGCATGATGACTGAACCGTCCCCTCTGTGTGTTTTTTTCTGCAACCCTCCAGTGATCCATCAGTATACATATGGATCCATGTGAGTGAGATCGTTTAAAACATTTAGAAGTGGTTGATTCCTAGTTTAAAACATTTAGTTATAGTTGAGTCTTGTCCTAGTTGAAAACATGTGGTAGTGATTGATTCCAAGTTTAAAACACTTAGCAGTTTAAAACAGAAAATTATAAGTGGTTGAGACATCCCAGTTTAAAACTAAAGAGATTCAGAAATGGATGACGTTTGTCATATCACTAAAAAAGACATTAGTGTGAGAGGTCAGAGGTGCTAGATGTGATTTCTCCTCCCCCCCCCCCCATGATATAAAAAGAATTTCACAGGGTAGAATGGAATGGAGGATTAGACTCCTCAGCAGCATGATGATGACGGTGGTAAGGTTTGTACTAGTTTGAAATGGGGTTTAGAAAGGGTTGGCCCCATGTGTATTCCATGGCCCCTTTTTCAGGGTACCAAAGAATAGACCCACCGCCCTCCTAAAAATCATGTCCTAAAAGGCAAGTAACTAGGGGATGTGTTGGGTCAAAAGGCATTGATGTTGCAGCCTAGCTGTAAGCCACAACACAGTGTGCCAGGCACCATTTTAATGGTGAATACAGAAAAAGAAGAAAGTTCTTTAGTATCACCCAAATATCTCCAACTGTGTTCTTGTCTTGTCTACAGCCATGGCCGATTAAAGGTGGGTCTTGGGGGTCCAGTGGGACCAGCTACCCAGAGATCATCATTACTGGGTGAGTGTCACAGTGCTAATTGTAAGGCACTGTTCTGTTGTTGTCGGCACGGAGATGTTAATCAGCAAATGCTCAGTGTATTGCAGTATACTGGGCTTATCCTGAAAAGAAGTAATCAGCGAAACAGGCACTGAAATGGGAAACAAATGGTTTGAGGAAAGGAGGACGTCCGAGGGAAACCCTAAAACATATTGTGTTGAGGGAGGTTTAAGGTGCTGGACTGGATTCATTAAATGATATTAAAAGGATTGCAGAGGATAGGATAGAGGGGGTGGGGTGTAGTGAATCATTTTCTCCTCGATAATTGATGTTTTCAGTAAGAAGGACGAATCGTGGTACACAGAAAAATGTTGGCCAAACGAGCAAATGGCCTAACCCATTTGGCATGGGAGAGTGTGAGAATCATGGATGTAGGTGATCTAGAACGTGGGTGAGAAAGATTATTCATCACCTCAAAGGATCTAGAATGGGGAGTCAGTCTTGTTCGAGTCTGTGTCGACTCTGGGATGATATGGATGATGAAACGAATGCAGAACGAATCTTTGTGTTAGTAAACGCCTGCACTCGAGTTTGATTGTGAGTTTCCCTGGAATATACTAAATCCTACACATAATTCCACAGCAGGCCTGTGCAACAGTGTGATGACACGAGGATAAATATGTACAGCGATGTAAAGACATGGGGATGGATATATATAGCAGTGTAATAACATGGGTTTTATTTTTGTTATCATATGACCAAAGAATATAGATTGTCTCTTTCTTATGTGGACAATCATTTCTCTTCGTGAGTCAGTTTTCTTCAAGATGTGACCTAGAAAAAGGACTGTTTTCAATGCCTCTAGATGTATTTAGCATATAGGGCTAGACCTGTATTTAATAGACCAATCAGAGCTCGGTAGACTGTGTGGGCAACATCACACCAGCCACCTTTACTTCCCAGGACTATGCCTGGTAGCCAGTCAAGGCTGGGTCAATCAGAGCAATGGTCACTTTTTTTTTTAAGTCCAGCTTCATCAGGACCCAAACCTATGACCTTAGGATCTGCAGGCAGAGTCAAGTTGCTGCACCACAGCTGCTCCCTATGAAAACCTAGTTAGACATTTTAATGTATCTTCTATTTCTGCCTTTCTATCCCCCAATGGAGCATAGGCCCTCAACCAACTCACACCAAGTCGTTCTATCCTTCACCATTCCATGGAGCTCTCCCCATGTCCTTCCCATCTTTCTAACTTCATTCTCCAGCTCTCTTCTCCGTGCGTTTTTTATTCCTATGCCCCTGTGGGTTCCAGTGCAAAGACAATCTAGTTATGCTGTTCTCCTGTTTTCTCAGTGTGTGTCCTATCCAATGCCAGCGTCTTTTCCTCACCTCTTGGTCCACTGGAGTACCCCCTTTATGTTGCCACTTTGAAACTAATATGCTGAGTCTATTCCATTGTGGGTACATACTCCATTTGTGTATTTTGGAAATCTTATGGGACTGAAAGATTTAAGACAGATACATTCAGCAGTGTAAATAAATTAGGACAGATACAAACAGTGAATAGATAAGTGACCAGGAAATCTGGCCAACACTCAATACTCAGAGGAAGGGCAAAATGGACATACAATCAGACTGCTGTTGATAGACACACTGCGCCTAAACAAGCATGTTGTAAAAAGCAACTGATTAAGGATTTGTTGAAATTGAATATCTTCTGCTTCTTAAAGTCAATGCCATGTGGCGTTGTTAGTCATATCTATTCACAACCTTCTGTCTCGTGTACTGTCAGTCAACTCTAATACAGATAATCCCCCATGCCATGATGTCAGTTGTCCAGTATCTTTTCCTTTGGTCTCTCCCTCTGCCTCTCCTCCCCTCGAACTTTCCTAATTTCATGGTGTACTCCAGTTTTCTCCTCATCATATGACCAAAGAATGCAGATTGTCTCTTTCTGATGTGGACAATAATTTCTCTTGGTTCCCTGTGTGGGTTCTGAGGTCCCATAATAAAGAAAACAAGAATAAACCCCCTGCCTCCCCAACAAGTCGTAGGAGTTGACTAACTGGGGATTCCTTCGAAGTCGGAGTACATCTGCCCAAGTGGCAAGGAACAACAAACTGCACACATATAAGCCAGTAAAACGGATGTACACGCAAACTCAAACCCTGGCACAAAGCCAAAGTCCAAATGGACAAACAACCAGGACTTTCTGCCAGAGCTTACAGCCGGTAAACGAAGAAGAAGAAGCTTTCTCTTCGTGAATCAGTTTCTTTCAAGATGTCTTCATTACTCTTGTTATCAGCCCAGGGTATTCTCATCATTCATCTATACATCTCCACAGCTTCCAAATAAGTTTTCACTAGTTTACCAACTATCCATGATTCACTTCCGTATATCAAGATATAATTTATATAACTGAATATGTTAAGTCAATAATGCGGATATAGAAGCCTAGCTGTAAACCGCAATTATGCCAACAGCCCTTTTAAGGGAGAACGCAGAAGAAGAAGAAGAAAAATACGTAGACGTTAGTTGGATGTCACTGATGTTTGAATGACGTGGAGCATGCTTACTAACATTGTATTTATTTGTGTACGTCCGGATATTTGCAGGCATGCTGATGGATCATTGAAATTTTGGGATGCCTCTTCAGGTGAGCAACATGCTTATGTCATATATCTTGTGTTGTTTGAGCAGCATTCTTGGGTCAGTTGTCTTGTGTTGTTTGAGCAACATTCTCAGGTCAGTTATCTTGTGTTGTTTGAGCAACATTCTCGGGTCAGTTGTCTTGTGTTGTTTGAGCAACATTCTCAGGTCAGTTGTTTTGTGTTGTTTGAGCAACATTCTCGGGTAAGTTGTCTTGTGTTGTTTGAGCAACATTCTCAGGTCAGTTGTCTTGTGTTGTTTGAGCAACATTCTCGGGTCAGTTGTCTTGTGTTGTTTGAGCAACATTCTCGGGTCATTTGTCTTGTATTGTGTCAGCAACATTCTCGGGTCAGTTGTCTTGTGTTTGAGCAGCATTCTTGGGTCATTTGTCTTGAATTCTGTCAAAACAATTCTCGGGTCATCTGTCTTGCCTTGTGTTGTTTGAGCAGCATTCTTTTGTCAGTTGTCTTGTGTTGTGTCAGCAACATTCTTGGGTCATTTGTCTTGTGTTGTTTGAGTAGCATTCTTGGGTCAATTGTCTTGTGTTTTTTTAGCAGAATTCTTGGGTCAGTTGTCTTGTATTGTGTCAGCAACATTCTTGGGTCATTTGTCTTGTGTTGTTTAAGCAACATTTTTGGGTCAGTTGTCTTGTATTGTTCGAGCAACATTATTGGGTCAGTTGTCTTGTATTGTTCGAGCAACATTTTCGAGTCATTTGTCTTGTATTATGTACAGTGGATGTCAGAAGATGCTGAATTCTAGCAATAATCTGCATACTAATAAGCCAGATTTTTAAAATGGATATGCAAAGATTAAACCCCAGAAGTGTATGAACAACCAGAACTTTCTACCAGAGTTTACAGCCAATTAATGTGAAAAAGAAGATGCCTAGTATAATCCTGAACCTGCTGCCTGGGAACTTGGAACCCCAGGCAAGAACAATTCGTCAGCAGGTCTCACTCCACCACAAATGTTTTGTTGCATTGCTAGATTAAGTTGAATTAGATTATAATATTATAAAAGACGTAAAATATATAGATAGATATTATATATTATTAGATATTATAAAAGTTGAGTTATATACGTATACCTAGTGTATCCAAAGTTGAGATGTATAATTAATAGTGCAGTTATTGTTGGGTTGCATAATCAAAACTAGTACATGCAACCTAAGTTGATTTGAACAAATGGTGCAGCCTAAGTTCTATAAATGATGCAGCCCAGATTGAGTTCTAAAAAATGGTGTTATCGGATTTGAGTTGTAATAAATCATGCAGCCTGAGTTGAGTTGTATAAATCATGCAGCCTGAGTTGAGTTGTATAAATCATGCAGCCTGAGTTGAGTTGTATAAATCATGCAGCCTGAGTTGAGTTGTATAAATCATGCAGCCTGAGTTGAGTTGTATAAATCATGCAGCCTGAGTTGAGTTGTATAAATCATGCAGCCTGAGTTGAGTTGTATAAATCATGCAGCCTGAGTTGAGTTGTATAAATCATGCAGCCTGAGTTGAGTTGTATAAATCATGCAGCCTGAGTTGAGTTGTATAAATCATGCAGCCTGAGTTGAGTTGTATAAATCATGCAGCCTGAGTTGAGTTGTATAAATCATGCAGCCTGAGTTGAGTTGTATAAATTCCCTGTGTGGGTTCCAGGGGCCTATTATAGGGAGGAAAAAATGGATAGACGCACTGCCTACGCAAAAGCATGTCGAAGGGTCAGCTGATTGGGAGCTTTCTTCAAAGTCCGAGTGCATATACCTGAGAGGCAAGGAACCAGCAGTCTGCATACAAATGAGTTAGATCTGTAAAATGTATGCACATGCAACACTCAGGTTCTGGAACAGGACTGCAGTCAAAAATTGTATGAAGAACCAGAACTTTCCGCCAAAGTTTATAGCTGGTGAACGCGAAGAAAAAGAAGAAGAGTTCTACAAATGGTGCAGCCGGAGTTGAGTCCACAAATGGTGCAGCCGGAGTTGAGTCCACAAATGGTGCAGCCTAAGTTGTTTTCTGTGAATGGTGCAGCCCAATTTGAGTTCTGAAAATTATGCAGCCTGTGTTGAGTTCCATAAATGGTTCAGCCCAAGTTGATTTCTATGAACGGTGCAGCCTCAATTAAGTTTTGTAAATGGTGCAGTCAGATTTTGAGTTCTATAAATGGTGCGGCCTGTGTTGAGATTTGTAAATTATGCAGCATGAGTGAGTTTTGTAAATGGTGCAGTCTGAGTTGAGTTCTATAAATGGTGCAGCCTGAGTTAAGTTCTATAAATGGTAGTCTGAGTTGAGTTCTTTAAATGGTGCATCCTGAGTTGATTTCTATAAATGGTACATCCTACGTTGTTCTATAAATGGTGCAGCCTAAGTTGAGTTCTATAAATGGTGCAGCCTACGTTGAGTTCTATAAATGGTGCAGCCTAAGTTAAGTTCTAAAAATAGTGCAGTCTGGGTTGAGTTCTGTAAATGATGCAACCTAAGTTGAATTGTATAAATGTTGCAGTGTATGTTGAATTGTATTAATGTTGCAGTCTAAGCAGAGCTGTATAGTCTTTGTTGAGAAATTGCTGATGTCCACTTGATCTCTTTGACAGTGACACTGCAATTCTTATACAAACTGAAAACGGCCAAAGTTTTTGAGAAACCCAAACGACCATCAGAAGACAAAGATGACGACCCGTTTGCTATACAAAACATCTTCTTGTGCCTAGAGAGTCGCATCATGTGTGTGGCGGGGCCAACACACTGTCTACTGTTTAAGTTTTCCAAGCAAGAGACAGTTGTAGATGTTGTTGTAAGTTGTCATCTTACTTGTCATTGCCAGCACTGTTGTCAGATGTCATCTGTCTTGTTATGCCAGCCCTGTTGAAAGTTGTCATTTGTCTTGTAAATACAAGCACTGTTGTAGGTTGTCATCTGTTCTGTCATTGCCAGCCCTGTTGCAGGTTGTCATCTGTTTTGTCATTGCAAGCACTGTTGAAAGTTGTCATCTATTCTGTCATTGCCAGTACTGATGTAAGTTGTCATCTGTTTTTTTCATTGCCAGCCCTGTTGCTAGTTGTCATCTGTTTTGTTATTGCAAGCACTGTTGAAGGTTGTCGTCTGTTTTGTCATTGCAAGCACTGCTGTAAGTTGTCATCTGTTTTATCATTGACAGCACTGTTGTAGGTTGTTGTCTATCTTGTCGTTACCAGCACTATTGTGTATTGTGTCCTCCCACCCCCCCCCCCCCCCTTTTCTTCCCCCAGCAAAGTATGTCATAAAGGGAAATAATAAGTTTCCTGAAATCAAGGTATTAAACCAAAAGGCACAGATATTTCAGACTTGCTGTAAGCCACAACACAATGTGCCAACCACACTTATATGGTCGAATGCAGAATTAGAAGAAAGCTGTCTAATTTTTCAGTGCCGGCATTGATAAAGCATCATAGCGGATGCCTTTACTTCTAAGGACTTTACCTGGTATCAGTTTTAGGCTGTGTAGATCTGGGTGCTAAGGTCAGTTTAAAAATGTGCCTGGTGCAGATTTGAATCCAAGACCTTCAGGCCACAAGCAAGCAATTAGCCACTATACAAGCAGCTGCTGTCTGGTTGTGTGTTTGTGTACATACATGCATGCGCTCTGTATGTGTGTGTCTCTCTCTCTCTCTCTCTCTCTCTCTCTCTCTCTCTCTCTCTCTCTCTCTCTCTCTCTCTCTCTCTCTCTTTTCTCTCTCTCTCTCTCTACACACACACACCCACACACACAGACTGACTGACTGACGGACGGACTGACTGACTGACGGACCGACCTGACCGACTGATGACTAGCACTTCATTGTTTCCTCAAGGCTCTGGAGTTCCCTATTGTGTATGAAATCTTTGATGAGCTGGATTCCCCTGAGTTTGACTTCTCCAAGCCGAGCTTAACTGTTGTGGGCCAACACAGTGGTAGTATGGGGTCCTACTCATCCTCAGCTTCAGATAATGCCCGGGTAAGTTTGTTAAAGATTTAATTTAAAGATTTTTTTTTTAAGATTATGTCTGGGCTAGTCTGTTGCCGGGTAATGTGGGGGTTTATTTTTTTTAACTCTCTGAGTCCCAGGGTCCCAGCATCAGAGGCCCAAGGGACAGTAAAGACAGAGTATACTTGGCGCAATACGGTCATTGGGCTTTTGGGTAGGAACCTATGATGCATTCCTTGGGACTGAAAGAGCTAATCACATAATGCTGGTCCTTTCTGTAGTTGATATTGTTAGATACACATGAAAACTCTGTAGGGGTAATAGTAATGGTAGTGGTGGTAGTAATAGTAGAAGTAACAGCTATAGTGGGCGCAACCCTGTAGAATTTGTAATCTTGTAGTAGAAATCTTATAGTAGTAGAAATCTTATAGTAGTATTGATCTTTTAGTGGTAGTAGTAATCTTATAGTTGTAGTAATCTTATAATAGTGTTAATCTTGTTGTAATTATCTGTTACTATCTTATAGTAATTATTTTTGTAGTAGTAGTAGTCTTGTAGTAATAGTAGTTGTGATAGTAGTAATCTTGCAGCAATCTAAAAGTATCAGTAATCTTTTTTTAAATAATTTTGAAGAAGACGTAATAGTAGTAATCTTACAGTCTTGTAAAACTTGTTATAATCTTGTAGTAATCTCGTTGTAGTAGAAATATTATAATAATCTTTTGGTAGCAGTAATCTTTTTGTAGTAAAAGTCATGTAGTAGCAGTCTTGTCTTGTCTTGTCTTGTCCACAATTGCCTCACAGCGTAGTGGGGAGTCGCAGTTTTCTATCCTGGGCCAGGTGTGTTGCACGTGTTGTTGTTAGTCCGTGTTGCCTCAGGATCTCTGATATATTGTCTATCCATCGTACTCTCGGCCTGCCTCTTGCTCTAGAGCAGTAGTGCTGTTCGTTGTATGCTCGTAGAGGTAGTAGCAGTAATCTTGTTATAATCTTTTTGTAGTAGAAATCTTGACATAAAATCTAGTTGCAGTAGTAATCTTGTTGTAATCTTACTGTGGTAGAAATCTTGTTTTTGTAGTTGTAATCTTTAAGTACTTTTGTAGTAGTTGTGAGTTTTTGTAATCTTATAGTATTTGTAATATTTTTTAGTTTTTTAGTACTAGTAATCTTGTTATAATTTTGTAGTTGTAATATTCCATGCTGGCCTCTCCTGACAGTCAGAAACCATGACCTCTGTGAAAGCAAGAGGAGGCACTCATCGCTGGGGTCCCGGATTTCTGCCTGACCTGGTCTGTATTTTGTGCTGGGTCGATGGAGAACCTCCAGGCAACATCACGGTCATGTCCGTCAACTCTTCCTACGGCCTGTGAGTTGTTTTCTTGCATATGTTCACCATCTTTTTTTGTCAACATATTATTTAAAACAACGATTTCCTATCCTTCCATTTAAACACTTAGCATCAGCAACTGGAATAAAAAGGACACCATTCACAGAAATGAATGGAGACGGTTGATACCTATACAGCACTGAATCCCAAAGCTTCGGAAAGCTGAAGAAGAAGAAGGTTTTCTCATTATGAATTTAAAGAATGACAACACAGTCAATAAATTGCACAACTGATTTCATCATGTTTGTAAGCAAAATGATCATCTAGTCGATCTTAGACTTCCTTGGTGACACGTTGTTAAGCAAAGACTTCTGTTGGTGAGAATACATATCATATTTTGGGGATCTTCATGGTGAAATGATCAAGCTTTTTGCCACGCTCTTTGAATGTCATGTGTTTGTTTCCCAGACTGACTCGTTCATAAATGCATTTTTTACGGAGATCCCTGGGGGTTATTGCTTGAGCTACAGGGCTTGGGCTTTGTGCAACATTCTTGGTAGGCGACTAGCCATTCGCTGCAGAGAGTTCCAGCCATAAAACCAAGATCCTGTTGACTTTTAACCTTTTTAAACTTTATACATTTGTAATAGACCTAAAGAATTATGAATTTCAGTTAGAATTATTTATGTTTTGTGCTTCATTATCTGTTGATGTAAATAAACTATGTAGTAATGCACCTGACAAGGTACAGCTAAAAATGAAACAGAAGTGTCATCCTGTCCAAGATAGGAGACATTATAACCTATTTTCACATGGGAACAATCAGTAGATATATCTTAGCGGACGCCAGCTTAGCTTGGTTAAACCATCTACGTGGCGACCAGGTGAAAAACTCCTCTTGTGGTCTGAGTTCACGCTCGGGGGTAGGCAGAAAAACCACATATTTCCCAGATATACGGTATCTATCATGGAATGACTGGAGAAGTTGAGGATGCAATACATCATATGAAGAAAGGAAAAGCACCCGGGACAACATCTCACTGGAAGAAATTGAAGCACTGGGAAATTTTGGAACTGAAATAATAACTAAACTTTTAAATGATATTTATAATAGTGGGTATATTCCAAATGACCTTTTAAAATCCATATTTATAGCTCTGCTAAAGACACCAGGCACTTTAAAATGTGAAGACCATCGCACAATAAGTCTTATGAGTCACATGACTAAGATTTTACTGAGAATAATTATGAGAAGAATAAGAAACAAAATTAAACCAGAAATCAGTAATGAACAATGTGGATTTGTAGAAGGAAAAGGTACAAACAATGCCATATACATCATAAGGACATTGTCAGAAAGAGCTATAGAAGTAAAGACTGATTTGAACTTATGCTTCATAGACTACACAAAAGCATTTGACTGTGTGAAGCACGAAGAAGTAATCAAACTGTTAGAAAAATCAAACATTGATGGGAAAGATCTACGAATAATAAAGAATATGTATTGGCAGCAAACAGCAGCTATAGAATTAACAACTGTTTAGGTACATTTCAAAGCATAAAGAGGGGCGTACGACAAGGATGTGAACTTTCACCTGATTTGTTTTCAATATACAGTGAATATATAATGAGATCTTTAATTGATATGCCCGGAATTGGGGTTGATGAGCAAAATATAAACAATTTACGTTATGCTGATGACACAGTGTTGATAGCAACAAGTCAGAGAGAATTACAGGAAATGATAGACATTGTGGTGTTAGAAAGTGGAAGAATGGGCCTCAGTTTGAATAATAGAAAGACAGAAGTAATGGTGGTATCAAAGAAGCAAATTATTCCTTAATATGTGTTAAAAGTCAATGGTGTTATTTTAGGACAAGTACAGAAATTTAAGTATCTGGGCACATGGATAACATCAGATAGAAGATGCATGACTGAAATAAGAAACAGAATTGGACAGGCAAAAACTGCATTTTATAAAACGAAAAACATCTTGTGCAATATATCCTTGTCATTAAGAGTTAGAAAAAGAATTCTTGCTTGCTACATACATCCAGTTTTAAAATATGGCTGTGAATCCTGGACAATCCGTAGGCAGGCCAAACAATTTTTAGAGGCCTCAGATGTTGTTTTACAGAAGAATGCTTAGAATACCTTGAACAGCCAAAAAGAGCAACCAAGAGGTTTTCAAAGAGGCGGGAGCCGAAGACAACTTATCACAGACATCAGAAGGAGACAGTCATCATTTTTCGGCCATGTTATGAGAAGAGGGAAATTAGAACATGTTGTGACCACAGGAAAGATCTGTGGAAGGAGGGAAAGAGGAAGACAACGAGAGAAGATGCTTGACAGTCTTGTTGCATGGCATGGAGGTGTATCGGCACACAAACTGATACATGCTGCAGGAGATCGCAGATTATGGAGAGGCATGATCGCCCATGCCAGTCGGCAAGGCACCTGATGATGATGATCATCATCATGTAATCATAGTACTACGCAAAAGGGTTTACAACTCATGGTTTCTGGATTTAAAAAAGGACAAACAGTCAGAACTTTCTGCATGAGTTTACAGCTGGTGAACGCTAAAAAAAAAAACCTGCTGTTTATCCAGATTGTGATGTCATCCTCCTACTAATAAAGCTACATCTTTCTAGCTTACCTTCACATGTTTCCACCAGCATATTTTTATGAGTTTTTTATGGCCAACATATTTTATTTGTCTTTTTTCTGTTTTCTGATCTCTGAATTTCTGTTTTTGATTGTTGACTGTTTTTATTTCCATGAAACAGAACCCATTTTTATGTAGTGTTTAAATCAGAGTTCTTTGTCTATATGTATTGTTTATATGAATGACCCCTTGTAGCTTCAGGAACCCCATAAGAGGGGGAGCTAGACCCACTTATCTTCAACAAGCAACTCATAAAAGGCAACTAAATAGAGCCAGCAACCCACATATCACAGCCTAGCTGTAAACCAAAGCACAGTGTGCCATATATTCCTGTTAACAGTGAACGCTAAGAAGAAGAAGTTGAAGTAGACGCAAGTCTCAGCTATTAGCACCCGTTTCTTGTAACATATGCAAGTAACTGGCTTTGTGGTGAACCTCTGACCTCTATCCTGATCTGTTCTAATGACAGCCTGGCCTTCGGCAACGAGTCCGGCCTAGCCATTGTGGATTACCTGCAGAAGGCTTGTTTGCTGAACCTGGGTACACCAGATTTGTATGGTAAGTACACATCAGCCATTCAGGTAATTGAAATACTGAATGTATATGTCACATAATACCATATGTGTTATACACCTGTCGCTAATCATACACCAGCCATTTTTGTCATGCACCTGCTATATGAGCCACACACCTGCTGTGTGTGTCATACACCAGTCATGCATGTCACACACCAGCCATCTGTGTCACACACAAACCATATGTGTCATACACCTGCCATGTGTGTCATAAACCAGATATATGTGTCATACATGAGACACATGTCGTACACCACACATGTATGTCATACACCAGCCATCTGTGTCACACACCAGACATATGTGTCATACACCTACCATGTGTGTCATCATACACCGACCATACAAACTACATGTGTAGTATATTTAAATGTGATGTCTACTCAACAAATGTGATGTCCACTAAACATTGTTGATTTTAATTTGATGTCCACTTAAAAATAAATGTCATTCTGACTGTAACAAAATTAGAGATTTATTCCAGTATCTACTTAAAGATATATGTAGAAAAATGCCTGCTAAACTCTTGCCTTCGGACCAAAGGTCTTGGATTTGAATCTGTATGGAGAATTTTTATAAAAGTTACCTTTGTTGCCAGGTCAACTTAGCCAAAAAAATTGGTACCAGAAAACGCCCTAGTTGGGTGTTGTTGACTGTATCACGCATCAAATGCCAATATATCTGTACAAAATAGGAGTCTAGCACAAAGTGCTTGATAAACCAGTGGCGAAAAAGAGCGGGGGTGGGGAGGTGAGGTTTTGTTGCCGTGGTGAAGTTGTCAAGTCGTTTGCCTTGCGCTGTGAAGGTCATTTATTCTTTCACGGAGGTGTCATCATTCAGTCCATGAGTGCAGATTTTACAATTCTTGGGGACCTTTACTGGAGCCACAGTTGCTGCTTTGTATGACACACTCGGCAAGCTGCTAGCCATTCTGCTGAAAGGGACAGAGCAGTATGGAATAACCTGATGCAGTGAAGTTGATCCTCTGGACTTTTAACTTAATTGTAACCATAGCTGGGCTTTTTTCCCCCCACATATAATCTCTCGTACAGTATTAGAGTATTAATCTGGGATGTTTGCTACAGTATCAGAATATAAATTTACTGTCCTTAATTATCCTAATTACTGCAATAAAAGAGTTTCAGTCCGGTGTCCACTCACATATAAATATCATATTTGCTACAATTTTAGTTTTTATCTGGTGTCCACCAGATATAAATGTCATGTTTGTTATAGTATTAGAGTTTTAATCTGACCGATCAGGTTCTATGGATCCTTATCAACGAGCACCTAGGTCACCACGCTCAAAGAAAGGACCAGGAGATGTTGTAATTCCAGGCTCAGACGATTGTAAGTCTCCGACAGTTGAGCAGGTGAGAAAAGCATGCATGCTTGATTGTTGAAGTATAGCTGTATACATATTTGTGAACATGGACAGGAATATGTGTGAACATGGACATAAACAGGAATATTTGTATACATGTTGGTGAAGATGAACAGGGATATCATGTTGATAAACTTGAACATATGAATATCTGTTTACATGTTGGTGACGATGGACATAGGCAGGGATATCTGTATACATGTTTATGAACATGGTCAGGGATACGTTGATGAACATAGACAGGTATATTTGTATTAGGGCTGTACCGAATATTCGCTTCGTATTTGCTTCGAGGCCGAATAGTTGACCTTTTGACTATTCAGTATTCGGCCGAATAGTTGCGGTCGGGCCGAAAACGAATAGTAGTTACCTTACACCCGCTTCTGCTTACACGGCCTTAATACTGACAACATGGAACGATTGGTTTTGTTGAAAACTTATGCAGCTTTCATGCATTAACTAAGCTGTCAGTGACAATTTCCAAGTTTAGCTTTTTATAATACTTAGGATTTTTTCATTCTTAGCTATTAGTTACCGAAGACTGACTGATGGATGCAAAACATAAAATGTTTTTAAATGTATACTATTCTGTACGAATACTAACTAGACATGGAAAGAATATAAACTCCGGCCACATCCAAGTCGATAATATGAAAATCAAACGAACTGAAACATATAAGCACTTGGGTGCAAACTTCAACTGCTCCAACATGCTGAAAGAAGAAATACAATCTAGAATACAATCTATAAATAAAGTATACTATGCCCTTCAACATCTGCTAAAGTCATAGTGTCTGTCTCACAACACCATGATCAAAATATATAAAACATTGATAAGACCAGTCGTTTTATATGGCTCTGAAACTTGAAGCAGAAATAACAGGGATGAGGCCTTATTACAGGTTTTTGAAAACAGTCTTACGACAAATCTTTGGACCCATCAAAGATGCTAACAGCGGGGAATGGAGAGTGAGAAGCAACAACGTAACACATAATCTGTTTAAATCACCATTGATCACTGGCATCATGAGAGCTAACAGACTAAAATGGTTGGGGCAAATTGAAAGAATGTCAGAAGACAGAGAAGTAAAACTGAGAGAGGAGTGGGCGTAGACCACGAGGCAGACAAAAAAGAAGATCGAGAGATAATGTCAAGCCAGACCTGAAAACAACTGGTGTCACAAATTGTGAAGAGAAGGCCAGCCAGAACGATGAAGGGAGACGAGTGATATCTGCAGCAGTAAACCTCAAGGGCTCAGAATGCTAAAGAAGAAGATGACTATTCTGTGCTACTTTATGTGAAGTAAAAGTTCAGCGTACATTTGACATTATGAATGCATTGTTTTTTTAAAGATATTTTTTATACACTATTCGTATTCGGCCAAATATTTTGTCCAGTTATTCGTATTCAGCCCAATAGTGAAAATCCCTATTCGGTACAGCCCTAATTTGTATACATGTTGGTGAAGATGAACAGAGATATCTGTATACATGTTGGTGAACATAGTCAGGGATATCTGTATACATCTTGGTGAACATGAACAGGGGTATGCGTGAACATGGACATAGACGGGGATATATGTATACATGTTAGTGAAGATGGACATAGACAGGGATATCTATACATCTTGGTGAACGTGGACAGATGTATTTGTGAACATGGACATAGACAGGGATGTCTGTATACATGTTTTGAATGTGAACATAGACATTGATATTTGTATACATGTTGGTGAACATGGACAGAGATATCTGTAAACAAATTGATTAAAATAAACATAGACAGGCTTAACTTTATACATGTTGGTAAACATGTGAAGGGATATGTGTATACATTTTGATGAACATGGATAGGAATATCTGTATACATGTTGGTGAACATGGACAGTGCTATCTGTATACATGTTGGTGAACATAGACAGGGATATCTGTATACATGTTGGTGAACATAGACAGGAATATCTGTATACATGTTGGTGAACATGGACAGTGCTTTCTGTATACATGTTGGTGAACAAAGACAGGAATATCTGTATACATGCTGGTGAACATGGACAGTGCTATCTGTACACATATTGATGAACATGGACAGGGATATGTGTATACATGTTAATGAGAATGGTCAGGGATATCTGTATATATGTTGATGAACATGGACAGGGATATCTTTATACATGTTGATGAACATGGACAGGGATAGCTGTATACATGTTGATAAACATCTACAGGGATATCTGTACACATGTTGATGAGCATGGACAGGCTGTAGGGGCATGTCTGTGTATACATGTTGATAAATGGACACTGAGACATAGACAAGAGTATATGCATTCATGGTGGGGGGAGGGGGGGAGGCTGGTATTTAGCCCTTTTGCAAATATTCTAGGTGGGAAAGGGAGGGAGAAGTCCCAGATTCTGGCACCTATGTTGTCATGAAATTAACTCTGTTAGTTGCTGGTATGGAAACAACTATTGCCTGCACCGATGCATATGAGATTGCTTGGGATTACTCTGAGATCAAGTAGATATCATGTTATCAGTATAACAGCTGACCTGTTTTAGCCTGAAGGTCTCTGGTTTTAATCCTTATTTGTGGGTTTTAAACTTTGACTCCCAAGTCGGCTCAGCCTACAATGAGTATCAGGCTGTATGCTGAGAAGACCACATCAACTACCTAGTGTGGATTGTTTTGTATAATATTCTAGCATCATATACCCAATGCACAGCTAAAAAGGGTCCTTTGATTTATTAGTCAACATCTTTGTCAGTTTTAAGAGTGTAATTAGTTAAATGGAAGTAGACCCCAAGGTATATCAAGAAGGGTGTTGAGGGATAATAGAGAAGGCTAATCGCAGAGCTTAGTGGAGGTTGGTCATATCTGTAGCAGTGATGGCTAAAAATGCTAAAGAAAAAGGAGAACATGTGTGTTATTTATGTAAGTTGTATTTGTGGTTAACTTCTAGCAGCAGTTATCAATGCATTTGCTGATTCTTGATTTCAGTCAGCCTCTAACCTTACCCCTAATTATGGGAGTGACACTAGCCCATCTGACATTCCAACCCCTAACAGTGCCCTAAATCCAGAAATACCAGTCTCTGGCATTGGAGAGGTTATGGCTCCCTCACCACAGTCCAAGCAGGCTGTCGTCAAATCTATGTCCCTGTCACAAGTGGCTTCTGCTAGAACTTCTCCGGTGATCAACCATGGAAACACCTTAGCTGATGATTCTCACAGTTCATTGGGCAAGTCTTTGTCTTTGGGCTCCCCAGAAAGTGTTCCACAATTGTCAGCTCCTCACTCGACTCCTGAAGGTCCACATGGATTTCATCACAGTCCTAAAATATCCAGAACCACTCAAAGGATGTCATCAGAACCTCTCGGACCTGTTGATGAAGATTACTTCAAGGCAGAAGTTACAGTTGAAAGAAATGACATTCAGAGAGAATTTAACATTCCAAAAGCTCCCCCAAGAAATAAACACAAAAATAAGACTTTAATCAAGCGACCATTGTTGTTCCTTAATCATGACCACAGCAAAACTCCTGTCTCAAAAGCTATACCCTGTAACACAGAGCAGAAAGCTGAGTTCCCTCCTGTGAAAGCAGTATGTCTTTTGCCACGATCTCTTAGTGAAATGGGCCAGACCAGCAACCAACAGGCAGCAGACACTTGTATTGCATACAACACTGAAGCTATGCTGTGTCCGTCTTCTGCCATGAAGTTAAAATGTGCCAGCGCAGGTGACATTGCGGCAGATGAGTGTGTACAGATTGACAGTTTCACATCAGAGGCTAAGAAGAAGGAAGAGCATGCTAGAAAAACATTCTCTGACCCGGAGAATCTAGACGACAGTGACAATGAGGCCCGACTGAGGGAGCTACTCCGAAAGTCTTCCTCAGACAGTCATATATCTCTGTCGGAAAACATTCCTGTTGTAGAAATGAATCAGCATTTAGAGGCTAACAAGCATTGGCTAATGAAAACAATACAGAAAACATCCAAGACAAAGAAGAAGGAAGTTGATGGCAGAAAATGGAGTGAAGAAAATTCTGAGCAGCAACTGGGGGATGGTGACCTTACAGACATTTCCTTGAACAAATGTGACATTGATCAGAGTGAAAGTTCAGCCAAGTTTGGCGCAGAATTACAGGATGAACAACAGGAAGAAAAAGAGGTGCATGATCAGGTTGGTTGTGTTGATGTCAAACACTCAGGGAACACTGCCGGCTTCTTTACTCAAGTCGGTTTGAAGATCAAGTCTCTCAGCAGCAAAAAGATCACAACTGAAGATGAGGACGGGGAAGTGTCTGCTACACACAAGGTCCAACCGAAGACTCATGAACAACAGCTCAAATGTAAAATTGAGGTTCTGGACCTAACGGATGATGCAGCGACATGCAAACATACTGTTCGCAAATTCAATCTGTCTGATGTGGTGCAGATGAGGAAAGCTTTGGGTAGGTAACCACTGCGTAGGCTCACTAACCAGACCAGCTTAGCTAACACTAGCATCACCTTTCTGCTACCTTCCTGCTAGCTTGACCTAACATTGCTAGCACCCAGCTGCCAGCCAACGTCCCTCTTTAACAAACAACTTGTTTTTTTGTTTCAGGAAGTCTGCATGCTGAGTTGACCAACAGCTATATAATTTGTTGACATAAATCCAAAGTCACTTAAATGCAGTCTTGGCAATTTTCACATAAGTATGTTTTCAGGGCTTTTATGTGTCACTGGGAATTTCTACTCCAGATAGGTCAAAATAAAGTATTACTCTTCTTGCAACTGCTAAGTTTTTTTTTAGAGCATTGCAAGATGTCAGTGTTCAAACACGGTTGTCTTGAAACTAGGATTTAGTATTTAGGTGACTTTGGCATAGTGCCAATAATATTTAACCATGCTTTCTTTCAGTTTCGCCTGGACCGGTTTGTTTGCTAAACTAACAATTGTTATTGCTCTCAGTACCCTCTTGTAGAAGCCCATCATTAATCTGTTACATCATGCAATCGTTTATTGACTACTTTGTATGCTTGTGCATCTTTTTTCAGGGTGAGACAAACTTGTTGTAGTTTGGGGATGTGAGATTTCTTCATGGCCAGCAAGACATGAATGCTGATTTCACATTCTGTGGGCAAACTGTTGTTGGCCACATGTTACTGCTAGTTTTGTTACCTTGTGTTTTGTGAACGTGTTGTGGGCATTGTTCTGTAGTGTAGTGGCACCATCCCTTTGAGTTCATAGTTACTTCCAGCTTTTTGGTTGTGCGGCTAAGGTTTTATATCTGGTGTATGGCAAGCATCGTGGGTTGTAATTCTTTATTTCACATGTATGATGGTGAGTTTTCAGTTATAGCATCACTTGTATGACAATGAGTTCCTAGTGATAGTGTCACACAAGTAAAGGTGGGTTTCTGCTGACATTATCTTATGTAAAGATTTTTTTTTACTGACAACCCTGTGTGATTTTCTGTCTGACAGTGTCTTGTATGAGTTTTTGCTGAGAGTATCTTGTGTTTCTGCTGTCAGTATTATGTGTGAGTTTCTGCTGTCTGTGTCATGTGAGAGTGTCTTTTGTGAGTTTCTGCTCACAGTGTCTCATGTGAGTTTCTGCTGAGAGTATCGTGAGTAAGTTTCTGGTGTCAGTGTCTTTTGTGAGTTTCTGCTGACTTTGTTATGTGAGAGTGTCTTGTGTGGGTTTCTGCTGACATTGTTTTGTGATAGTGTCTTGTGTGAGTTTCTGCTGACTGTGTCGTGTGTGAGTGTCAGCTGATAATGTCTTGTGTGAGTTTCTGCTGACTGAAACTTGTGTGAGTTTCTGCTGACTGAAACTTGTGTGAGTTTCTGCTGACATTGTTTTGTGAGAGTCTCTGCTGACAGCATCTTGTGTGAGTTTCTGCTGACAGCATCTTGTGTGAGTTTCTGCTGACAGCATCTTGTGTGAGTTTCTGCTGACAGCATCTTGTGTGAGTTTCTGCTGACAGCATCTTGTGAGAGTCTCTGCTGACAGCATCTTGTGTGAGTTTCTGCTGACAGCATCTTGTGTGAGTCTCTGCTGACAGCATCTTGTGTGAGTCTCTGCTGACAGCATCTTGTGTGAGTCTCTGCTGACAGCATCTTGTGTGAGTTTCTGCTGACAGCATCTTGTGTGAGTCTCTGCTGACAGCATCTTGTGTGAGTCTCTGCTGACAGCATCTTGTGTGAGTTTCTGCTGACAGCATCTTGTGTGAGTCTCTGCTGACAGCATCTTGTGTGAGTCTCTGCTGACAGCATCTTGTGTGAGTTTCTACTGACAGCATCTTGTGTGAGTCTCTGCTGACAGCATCTTGTGTGAGTTTCTGCTGACAGCATCTTGTGTGAGTCTCAGTGTGACAGCATCTTGTGTGAGTCTCAGTGTGACAGCATCTTGTGTGAGTCTCAATGTGACAGTATCCGGTATGCAAGTTTGTGCTAATACAGTTTTGTGTGAAGAGATACAATGTCTTGTGTGAGTTTCTGCTCACACTGTCATATGTTCTTCTTCTTCTTTCGTTCGCGTATTGTCATATGTGAGTTTCTGCTCAAACTGAGTTTCTGCTGACAGTATTAAATGTGAGTTCCTGCTTAGTGAGGAGTTTCTGCTGAAAATATCGTGTATGGATTTCTGCTAATACTGTTTTTTTTTTTAAGTGTCTGCTGACACTATCATATATGACAGTGTCTTGTGTGATTAGAATCTGCTAACATTATCTTGTGAGTGTTTTTGCTGACAGTGTCTTATAAGAGTGTCTACTGACAGTGTCATGTGGGAAGGGTTTCCAGTGATAGTATCACATGTGTGATGGTGAGTTTCTGTCCCTGACAATCAGACATGGGAGAATCTTTCATTTATCACACTTAACTGTACTTCTTGGGTCTCTAGTAATGTGGTCGCATTCACCAAAAGTTGTGTTGTATAAGAGAGAAGTTGGAGAGGTTCGGCTTGGCTTGTCCTTACTCAGTGTTGGCTGGTGTTGGTCAGTGCTTGGGGTGTCTGTGCTAGTGATAGATGCTGGCTTGTATGTTGGTAGTAGTTAGATGTAGATTTCCTGCATGGGAATGCATTCTATGGCTTACCTTGTTGTGTTTGCATGTGCATTGTAGGTACACATGTAGTCTTGACTGCTCAGTTGGGTTGTGGATGTCTACAACATGTAGGCTTGACTTGTTACATAGCTATGCCATGTCTAAAACATGTAGGCTTGACTGTTTAATAGGTATGGGATGTCTAATACAAGTAAGCTTGACTGTTTAGATAGGTGGGGGAGGGGGGGGGGTCGTCTAAAACATGTAGGCTTGACTATTAAAATAGGTTGGGGATGTCTACAACATGTAGGCTTGACTGTTTAGATAGGGGGTGTCTTAAACAGATAAGTCTGACTGTTCAGATAGGTAGGGGTGTCTTAAACATATAAGTCTGACTGTTCAGATAGGTAGGGGTGTCTTAAACATATAAGTCTGACTGTTCAGATAGGTAGGGTTGTCTTAAACATACAAGTCTGACTGTTCAGATAGATAGGGGGTGTCTTAAACATATAAGTCTGACTGTTTAGATAAGGGGTGTCTTAAACATATAAGTCTGACTGTTCAGATAGGTAGGGGTGTCTTAAACATATAAGTCTGACTGTTCAGATAGATAGGGGGTGTCTTAAACATATAAGTCTGACTGTTTAGATAGGGGGTGTCTTAAACATATAAGTCTGACTGTTTTCAGATAGGTAGGGGGTGTGGTCTGTAAAATGTAAACTGTTTAATTTGAAAAGATCTTTGGGGGGGGGGGGGCGCTAAAACATGTAGGGTTGATTGTTAGATGTGGGGGGTGGGTGTTGTGTGTGACTAATACATAGATGTGGGCTTGACTGTTAGATGTGGCTGTGGGGGGGGGGGGGGAGGTGGGGGGGGGGGTGTGGGACTAATACATAGATATGGGCTTGACTATTAGATGTGTAGGCTTGACTGTTGCGGTAATAATGGTGTTAGTTTCTAAGTAGACATCTAGCGACTCTGTATTCAGGTGTTAAACACACACACATATATATATATATATATATATATGAGACACCACTTTGCTTCGGTGATATTATGTTTATCGCTGTGCCGACAGTAGTCTCGTCCATTCGCTGTTCCTGAGTTGTCACTCGTTGTCTATAGTCGGTCGTGAGCACTATTACTTCACAGTCAGCGCTGAAGTCAAAACATTGCTACCTTTCATTTCAAATGTTCTATTTATACTAGTGCTGTACCGAATAGTGATTTTCACTGAATACTGAATAGCTGGACCAACTATTCGGCCGAATATGAATAGTGAATCATCATCATCAGGTGCTTTGCCGACTGGCATGGGCGATTATGCCTTGCCACAATTTGTGATCCTCTGCAGCGTGTATTAGTTCGTGTGCTGAAACACCTCCATGCCATGCAACAAGACTGTCAAGAATCTTCTCTCGTCTTCCTCTTTCCCTCCTTCCACAGATCTTTCCAGTGGTCACCACATGTTCCATTTTCCCTCATCTTATAACATGGCTGAAAACTGATGACTGTTTCCTTCTGATGTCTCTGAGTAGTTTTCTTCGGGCTCCCGCCTCTTTCAAAACATCTTGGTTGCTTTTTTGTGGCTGTCCAAGGTATTTTAAGCATTGTTCTGTAAAACCACATCTCTGAGGCCTCAAAAAATTGTTTGGCCTGCCTACCGATTGTCCAGGACTCACAGCCATATGTTAAAACGGGATGTATGTAGCAAGCAAGAATTCTTTTTCTAACCTTCAATGACAAAGATATATTGCATAAGATGTTCTTCAGTTTTTGCCTGTCCTATTCTGTTTCTTATTTCAGTAATGCATCTTCCATCTGATGTTATCCATTAGCCCAGATACTGACATTTCTGTACTTGTCCCAAAATAAAACCATTGACTTTTATTACACATTTAGGAATAATACTTTTCTTTGATACCACCATTACTTCTGTCTTCCCACTATTCAAACTGAGGCCCATTCTTCCACTTTCGAATAGTGTATAAAATAGATCTTAAAAAAAAATCATCCGTAATGTCAAATTTATGGTGAAATTTTACTTCACAAAATGTAGTTCAGAATAGTAAACATTTAAAAACATTTCATGTTTTGCATCCTTCAGTCAATCAGTCTGTGGCAACTAATACCTAGGAATGAAAGTATTCTTAGTTTTATAACAAGTAACTAAACTTGTAAATTGTCACTGACAGCTTAGTTAATCCATGAAAGCGGCATTAGCTTTAAAAAAAAAAAAACTTAATTCCATGTTGTCAGCATTAAGGCAGCTTCTTGTCTCACTGAAGGTATTTCCAGCTGTACTAAACAGACGTTCTTTTGGTGGTGCACAAAGATAACGCTTGACAGTATGAACCAAGGTGGGAAATCTTGATATGTTTATTTTTCACCAGTCCAGAAAAGGGTGTAAGGTAACCACT